TGCAGCAAGGTGGCAAATCGGGGGAGTGTTTGGAGAAAAGCAGGAGGTACGGCAGGGGATGCGGCCTGAGGAAAGACGCGAGAGCCCCATCAGGCTGCCCGCAGGCAAAACAGGGAGCACGTAAGTAACAACAAGACCTCAAAACTAGGAGCTGTCCCAGACGGGAAAAGCTTGGAGAATCATGGGATAGGAGAAAATACCCAATCCACTTCCTCAGGGCTGTGTTTCTCACCAGTCAAAGTGGTCTTGGAAGCCTCCAATTCCCTCAAAGGAGCTGAAGTAGTCGTAAAGCTTTCTTCCATCTTCCCGGGTGGCCAGTCGCTCCGCTCCCCTCGTCAGCACCACCTCTCGCTGGCTGCAGCGTATCTGGCCAGGGGTGAGGTCCACAGGGAGCTGCGGGAGCACAGAAAGCAGGAGGGGAAAGGCTTCCAGAGCAGACAGGTTGTTTCATGCACTGGCAGAGACAACAAGCGGCGGGGTGGAGACTCCCCACCACCGCAGCGTGGGAGGACGGAGACAAGAAGAGGTGTGGAAGCCCCCCAACCAAAAATCATCCCCTCCCCAGAGATGGAAAGGGATGGAAAGGGATGGCCTCCTAGCTGCACACTGCCCTCATTTCAATCTCTGCTCCCTGTCTCCCTGAGGAATGTCCAAAGAGCTTCTGAAGCTCGTTCCCAGCGTTCCCGCCTGATGTGCTGTTGGGGCAGAGCACGGCTGCCATGGGCTCTGAGCCAGCGAGCCCCGCTCTCCTGCAGCGGCCCCTCTCCGGGAGCAGGGATGCTCCGAGCGGAGCCCTTTCCCACCCAGGATCCGCGCAGACGTGCTCCCCCCTGGCGAACAGCTTCTTCCCGGGAAGCTCGCTGCATTTCCTCTCCGCGGAAGCCGGTGGTTTTAAAAGCGGGACGGCCAAGTGGCTGGAGCGGGGAGCTCCGTGCCGGCTGGCCGGCCGGCCTTCTCCAGCGTGCCAGGGGTGCCGCTCACCGCCGCGTCCCGCAGGGCGGGGAACCGGGGGTGCTGCCCGGCCAGGGCGCGGGAGACGGCCCGGAGGGCGCGGGGCAGGTCGGTGCCGAAGCTCCTGAAGACGACGGCGAAGGCTCTCCCCTCCCGGTGCAGGGCGTCCAGGAGGCGGAAGAAGGCGGGCAGGATCAGGTGGTAGCGTTTGCCCGGTTCTCCCTCAACCGAGAAGACGTCGTCCGGTCGGCCCGGCCACTCCAGCAGCTGCAGGGGGCG